TGGATATATTGAGCAGAAAATTCAAATGCCTTAAACATAGGATACTACATATACAAACATTTATAGATTTAAAGTTCAGCTGAAATGTTAAAGAAAGGCAGAAATAAACAAGTATTAATAAAAGTGCGTGAAAAGGTTTTACACAATAAGATCAGCTGAATGGTGATTACTGCTCACAATCTCATCTCAAGCTGCAGGATGTAAGAGGAGCATTTTGCATCCAGAACAACAAACATAAACAAAATGCTGAAAGGGGTGTTGTCTGTTTGGAAAAGTGTTATAAACTAATGAGGTACATTCATTTTTACGGAACGTAATCTATAGTGTTTTGGAGTTGTTTGTCTCAATAGGCTGTAGTAATCAAAAGTAATGAACCTATTATGAGCAGGACCTCTGAGGGCCCGGCGTGGCATTAAGAGTGTGGCACATAAAAGGTTTATTAAAGGAAATTAAGGTCCATCACTGCCACACCTGCTCCCCTATTATAAATGTATGACAGGTCAGTGCCTTCAATCACAACAGCAAACGAGAGAGAGGAGTCATGTTTCCCATTACCAGGGAAAAGTAACAGCATATCCTATGACTCACAGATTTCACTGGCCTGTGACCACTATATGCTGCTACCATCCTGGGATAATTATGTTTAATAGGTTTTATTTGGGATCCACAAGCAACAGCCAGTGAGAGTGGATGGATTTTAGCAACTATTTTTGTCCGAACACACTAAGAGTTACCTTCTGTACTTAAATGTCATTATTTTGTATCATATTTGGTGCACACCTTTGAAACTTTTTGTTTCTGTCGCCGTTCTTTAATACCAGTGTTTTAGAGGCTTTTTGTGGTGTTTCGCACAAAAACAACTGTAAAAGTCTCCCAGTTCCCACGCAAAAAATATCATCTAAAAAGGAAGAATAGAGAAATCTGTATTTTAGTTTCTTATCTGTACATTTGATGGTTGTGCTTGCAGATGGATTCTGAAGGCGAGGAGCAAACCTTGAAAACATGCAACGGTGGCACGGGTGAGTTCCGATTTTTTTTTTTTTTACCGTATTAGTCGCTTTTGAACGTGCATCAACACCCTCGAACGCACACGTTCCACTTATCGTCACAGGTTAGGGGTATCGGTTCAACAATCCAACTTTATAACTGTCACTTTTATGTCTCATCTTCACAGTCTGAAGAGCACTGCACTGCTATTTTATTATTCAGAGGGGAATAACTTCATTAAATTCGAACACGCGCTCAAATTAGTTAAGGAGTGTGTGTGTGTGTGTGTGTGTGTGTGTGTGTGTGTGTGTGTGTGTGTGTGTGTGTGTGTGCGTGTGTGTGTGTGTGTGAAACCCAATGATTGTCCACGGC